TATTGTACAGTGAAAATAAAGTCGGGTGTCGAACTCGTACTTCGTTAGTTCTTATCCGAAACACATACATCTTCAACTCGCTCTCATTCTTCGCACAAACACAATATTGTTGTTAATTGGCAACCTTTTCTAAACAAAACAAATTTTCACTTCATCGCCACTGCCTGGTAATTCACGCGGGGACATGTCCTCTCGTTATTTCTTTACATCAGCTTTACATATTTAAAAAAAGAAGGAAAAAAGCCATTTTTTGTCGATTTTTAAAGGGGGAAAATTCTGTACGTGTCAACAGACTTAACGAACATTTTTATAGAGTAAATTAGTTTTTACAGTATCTGTATTTAACCTGGTATACCTATTTCTAGCAAGATATAACTGTACATGTATGAAACATTGAAATCTTCTGTTTAAATATGATTTCAGATCGTGATAATTTTTTTCAGTCAGAAAATATATTAGTCAATGCATTAATCAATATAAAATCAGAAACCACTGGATCTGATGGAGAAGCCGAAGTGTTCGACTAATATTACTAAAATTTGTGCGTGACTACAGCACCATACAGAAGAAGGGGAAAAAGATACAATCATGTTCTTTTAATTAAAAAAGCGTTCCCACTTGTAGCGTCCCCTTTAACACCATTTGAAAACAGATATCATTAATGAATATCAAACGTTATTGTTGGTTTTCTGTCCCAGGAAGGCGTCAAATTGTCACCGATGAAAGCCTGGAAGTGAATTAAGTCCCTTTGCGAGACGGGTGCAAGCGATTAAACCATATATTAATTAAATAAAGATATTAAACTGCTAACAAACCAATAATTTGGGATCGTTTTTCCTACTTTAATAAAACACCGACATTTTTGCCCCACGGAAACTAAAAAATATTAATTAATTTCACCAATTTTGTCGCTAGGGCTCTGAAATCGCTAACATATTACGCACTTGTGCATTTTCCTACTGCAATATTCAAGCGATACCACCAGAGGGAATCGTTTTATTGAAGACTGCTTCCTGACACTTCCTCGCAGAATTTTTGATATGTAATTTGTCTTTGGAACTTGCATAATGAATAATTAAATTGACCGTTTATAACGTTATCGGCAAATTCGGCCTCTGATGATCCATCACTTTTATCGTCATACTGTAAACAGTTTTGCATAAATCTGGGATTAGCATCACGACTACAACAAATTGGTTCTCCCATTTCATTTTCTTGGAAAATAAATTAACTTCATGATGCCATTATATATGACAAAAAGAACAGAAGCTGAAAACGAGATTATTTCCCCCTGCCCATACATGTTAAATAAGAAAAATGCATGTATTTATCAAGTTATAATTCAGCATAAATTTGCGTGCTAATAATTCACGCATGTTATAAGTTTTATTCAGTATTTTGGGGGTTAGAATTATTTAAGGTCAATCCTTCTTTCTGGAACAGAATAACAAATTTCGGTGTGTTAATGATGAAAAGAATGTAAAAAGGCAAGCTGATTAAGGAATTTCCCCTCGCAAGCACGATTCCCGGAAACCGTCTCTTGGACCCCTGTGTACCCGTGTTTGCTCTGGACAAACATAGTCTTGATGAAGCTCATTTTGTGTACCGACATAAAAGAAAAGAAATATACAAACATCGAACAGCGATTTAATTGAGATATAAGTTTTTACATAATCACATCATTAGCGAAAGTAAACACGAAGTGTAGGCAGGGATCTTTGAATACTCTCTTCATTTTCACACTTGCCCGTGAACGAACATCTCATCAAAGATGGAGCTAATACCCCGAAAAATGAAAAGGCGATCTATGTCTACAGATTATGAGTTATTATATAGTCAGGCGGTGTTGACTCTGTTTCTTACCTTTCATTGTCGGCCCCTGTGATATGTACGCCTCGCTCAAACATCAAAAGGAAATATAAAAATTGTTTGAAAATGTCAAAAAAAAAAGTTTTGAAAATCGCAGTGAGATCCTTCATAAACTCTTTTTTGTTATAATTGTGAAATGTTTGTGAAAATAAAGATTTTTTAAAATTATTTCTATCTATATATGTCTGAGTTTCGTTAAATGATATTTTGCTTGTAAATCTCTTAAGAACAGAAGCAAAAATGGTAAATGTTTAACTCCGGCAAGAAACCCTGCAGAGATCTCAAGATGAAAGTGTTCTGTATGGAAATGTAACAGGACGACAAAAACATAAACAAGGATTAGCGAGGGGATTAGTCGATAATCCACCAGACAATTCACCCAAAGAAGAACATAAAACAAAGAGGTAAACACAGGTAAGTGTGGAATTGTCAACGTCACACAAACAGAAAGTCCTCCAGCAAGATAACATTATGGGCACAATTATAAAGCATCATTACAGACAAAATCCAAATTAAAACTCCTATGTATAAAGAAACCGCTAAATTATATTGTAGTAATCTTTTAATTATTAGTAATCTTTAATATATAAATATCTAATTATCTTTAACATTATTATGTTCCCCAAACGAAGTTTGGGAACATATTGTTTTTACTCTGTTTCTTATTATTATTATTATTATTATTATTTTTCTTCCTGGGTACTTTTTTGTCCATGAGTAATCTCCGAAACTATACATCCGATTGAGTTGAAACCTTTTTAGGGTTAATAGGAATGTAATGTAGATTTGCGGAACGAAGGTCATTTTGCACGCACGTGTGTGCACGTGCGTGCGCGTGCAATGAGTAAAATGACCAATATACTTGATATTGCCATAACTTTTATATCTTTTGATGAAATACTTTGATACTCAGAATATAAGAATATATTAATAGTGTAGACAAGATGACATGGTCAGAATGCACATGCATGCACGTGCGCGCATGCGCATTGATTAAAATAACCAATACAATTGATATAGACTTAACTTGTACATTTTTTGATGAATTGCTTTGACACACAGAATATAAATATATATTAGAAGTGTAGACAAGAAGACTTGATCAGCGCACACATGCATGCACGTGTGTGCACGCGCGTGCGCGTGCAATGAGTAAAATGACAAATATACTTGATATAGCCATAACTTTCAACTCATTTGATGAAATGCTTTGATACTCAGGATATCAGGATATATTAATAGTGTAGACAAGACGACATGGTCAAAATGCACATTCATGCACGTGTGCGCATGCGCAATGATTGAAATAAAACCTATACGAATGATATAGACTTAACTTGTATATTTTTAGATGAATTGCTTTGAAACTCAGAATATAAGTATATATTAGAAGTGTAGACGAGATGACATGATCAGCGCGCACATGCATGCATTTGCATGCACGTGCGTGCGCGTGCAATGAGTAAAATCACCAATATACTTGATATAGCCATAACTTTTACATTTTTTGATGTTATGCTTTGATACTCAGAATATATAGACATATTATAAATGTAGACAAGACGACATTGTCAACATGCATAGGCATGCACGTGCGCGCGCATGCAATGCTAAAATGACCAATATACTTGATATAGCTGTAACTTTTATACTTTTTGATGAAATGAATTGATACCCGAAATATGTAGATATATTTATAGTGTTGACGAGATGACACGGTCATCGTGGACATGCATGCACGTGCGCGCGCATGCAATGCGTAAAATGACAGATATACTTAATATAGCCGAATTTTTTTTTCTTTTAATGAAATTTGAATATAAAGATGTATTAAAAGTGTAGACAAGTTGACATGGTCATTTTGTACATGCATGCCTGTGCGCGCGTGTGTAATGCGTAAAAAAACCCCAATATACTTGATTGCCTTATTTAATGAAGCTTACAGGGAATAAGACACCAAAAGGAAGTTGGGGAGCGTTTGGGGAACATCTGTAACGGTCCCCGTTACAATTAATACTAGTTAATATAATGTAGTGTATAATAACTGTAATTGCAGATAAATAAACTCAGTTTGAAAAATCACATTAGATTGAGACAATGCTTGAAAAGGGTAACAGGTTTAAACGAACAAAAATAAACACACATCCCCTCACATACACAAAAAACCCTGGGACGGAGTATACGCATTCATTGAGTAGAGAAGTGAAAATAAAAACGGTATGTGTAGTAAATGAGACAAACTATCACATAAATATAAATAAATATACAGGAAGTCACGTGATGACAACAGGAAGTCACGTGATGACGAATAACGGAATGTAATAAATTCTATAAATAATAATAGAACATGAAGATGTGTTCATTTAAACACAATATTAGTAGAATTCAAACTAGTATATCCTAAATGTTAGTAAATACAAAATAATCACTGATTTTTAAAGACTCATAACCCCTGCCTTTAGCTCATTTTGTCAAAATGTTCCTTTCCTTTCATCTAATATCGGGATAACAAATACTTTAAAAATAAAATCAGGACCTTGTAAAATTAAATGGCAGTAGATGAAAGAAATTTTTGCACTGTTAAAGAAGTCAATGAATTGCACCAAAAGGAAGAAAAATCCTTTAAAGGTTATCTATAAATAGAAACAACATAGTACGTAGTATTGCCAAGTGAGAAGAACCAGGAGTGTGGAACTAACTATACTGAATACATATGTATAACTTAAATATAATTATGCATAATATATAAATATACACACTTTTAAAAATATAGCTCGATGTAAAATATTATCATAAGACATTGTACCATAAGGAAACTATAGCTCTACTGTATGAATAACACATAAGTCAATACATGTATTTCAATGTTAAAATATCATAACTCATTATATTTCATACTTAATGCTTGTCTTAAAATCAAAATTAAATTTAACTGCATCAAATACACTATATATATATATATATATATATATATATATATATATATATATATATATATATATATATATATATATATATATATATATATATATCATATAAAACGGACAATATACTACATTTAAGTATATTTCATATTGCCATTGTTTAAGAAAATGAATTCTGACAGTTACATAATTATTTAAAAAAAACATATCATTGAATAATTTTAAAAAAGAACTTACAGTTTTAACACGAATATAATAAGTCTCAACAATTATGGCAAATCAAAAAATAGCAATAAATGCAGTGTTAACTTGACCTTATGTTTTTGACAAATCATCCAATAAAAATGAACAAATTATTTATATTCGTTATTTTTTGTATCATGGACTAAAAGGAAGCCTGAACACATATTATACAAAGACCGCGGCAAGTTTACATTAATTTATTACATCAAGGCCGCTCAAACTAAAGAGAAGGGAAATAACCCGATCGTTAGCTATTTCTATTGCCATACGACGTGTCATGTGAAACAGCTGACTCGGCTTTCTCCAACTCTGTCTTTAATTTCCGTCTTAATGCAGCAACCAGATTATTAAGCCTAAATAATCATAAAAAAGTTTATTATGTGCACACGAGGATAATGAATTATTAAATATTTTTTTCCTTCAAAATTAATTGCTTTAAAATTCTTTCACTAGGAAAAAAATTGAGATACAAAAAAAAAAAAAAAAATGATTCTGACCTTTCGTGTTCCCGCGCATTTTCTCCGATTTGGGCCTCCATTTTTTCAAGTTCCATCTGTAGGTGGCTCTTTTCCCGCCTTTCCTCTGCTAGCTGTTCCACCAGATGGTGCTTTTCCTTCTCTGTATTGTTACTCATCGTGGACTTGAAGGGATGAAGTGAGTTGACTTCATCCTCGGGCTGGGACTCCGAGGTGAGGGATTTGTGGAGGCTGAATTCCAGAGTGTTCGGTTGTATTACTTATTTTGTTCTTAAAGAGTTGTGTTATTTGACAATTTATGGTCTTTTTTAAAAGAAAGCTGAAGAAAAGTAAACCTATTAAAATAACTTCACAAAGAAAGAGATTTCTTTCATGGTTATGTTTAAAAAGTGTACAGTTTTCCCCCCTCGTACCTGTAGTAGATGCGTATCGTCTGAATTTCATCCGCGAGTTGTCGATTTTGCGCAAGTGCCAGATCGCGCTCTTGTTGGAGAATTGCCAGTTTTGCCTGAAATTCAGTAAAATAAAATACACATTTGGAAAAAAATCATTTTCCCTTCTTTTATGCTTGGGTCAAAATTTACTTATAATAAATGATATGATGCGAAAATAAATAAATAAATAAAAAAAAAAAAATAATAAAATAAAATAAATACGCGGTTTCTTATAATTTCTACGATACATTCATATATTGAAAATCAGTTCTAACGTGTTTTTCTGATATCTTAAGCTTTGGGATCCATTTTAATAAAATTTAATTGTCCATGCGCTTGTCATTCGTTTTAAACGAAGCGCTTTGACAACCTAGGTTATCAGGGTTGAAGACAAATGTACAATTTTCACCATGTGTAATGGCTCCCAATGAGTTTTTACCTTTTATCGCATCGCACTGACAAAAATCAATCAATGTAATGCGTACTAGATCTGTCTATAACTTAGTCCAAATGAAAAAACCGAATTCTAAGGTTAACGCTGTACTTCCTAGGAAAAAAGCAATGCACCCAAACGCAAAAAGGTGTGAATAAGAAAAGGGTCGAAACCCTCATTTTAAAACATCCTTAATCACCTAGAATAGACATACTCCGTGCTGCGAGCTGGTTTTTCGAATGACGGATTATCAAAGATTTATGTATCAAAATGAAGGAGTTATTGATCAGGGTAAATTAAGATGGTGCAATACGTTGGGGGTCTCAATTTTACACCAGGTCCAAATGTGAATATTAAGTTCCTATCCTCATCACTGTATCGATACAATGTAATAAATGGTTTGTTTACGGTTAGCCCGAAAACTTTACATTATACTGAATTTCCTGATGTTCTTGTTGGATTAGCCTGTTCTCAAACAACACCATATAAAGATTTTAGAATAAGTATTTCTTGTCGAAGAACTTGTACACGTGTGGGAGTGAACGATGGAACTCTGATACACAACTAGTACAAAGAGACCATTGTCCTCCCTTTAACTATAGACAGGAGACGCGTTCGTTATAACTTATCAATGTGCACAAGTATGCATATAAGTGTAAAACTATATTTTCATTTTTATTTTCCTTTACATTCGAAACTGAATGAAACACTACATTTTATGCAATAAAAAGGTAATAATTTTTTTAATCCACTACTAGTATCTTTGAACGAGAGTTAATACGGCGTCTAATGTACCCAACATAAAGTTAAAAAAAAAAACGGACCTAAAGGGGCGGCTCCATTCTTTTGCCAAAGATCATGCATATGTTAAATAATATGAGACATCATCGTACGGTAAATCTGTGCAAGAGAAAGACAGAAACCCTCTCTGTGAGGCTTTCAAGTTTGCTTGGTTTGCTGTTTTGAATTATCGTTATGGAACCTCCCTTCCTTTCCAAATTATTGGATACGCCTTTAAAATATGATTCTTCTTCGATCACATTAATTAAAAGAATTCCTTAACTTAACAATCCATATATTTTCACTATTTCATAACATACTTGTACTTATACAATTCCAAAAATCAAAAACAGTGATTCAACACAAATGAATTTATACAATGTAGGTGATCGCTGTGTTGATTGACCTCATGCTTGGACTAAAGGAAAATTTGCGCTATTATCAAGGAATCTATTAATCAGTTCTGAACTGGCGGTCCTAGAACAAATCTTTGACCGTATGCAGGTGTTTATAAGTTGACTGCTTCTCCAAGGAAACCATCAACAACCCCGGCTATGTTCCTCAATATCGCCGACATATTGAGCATTAGATAATATGCAATTAAGTCGAACGTTTCAGATGAATTTTCATTTTGCTGAATTTATGCAAGTGCGAAGCGTAATAAATTTGACTCTGGCGGTGATTAGAATTGGGGAAAGTTCGCCTCGCCGCGGAACTGAAGTTTTATTAGCCGAGATATTGGAAGCGTTCAACTGACTGTTCCTTTTATTCTAAATCCCGAGCTCTCACTTCTAGATAAGTTGTATAAAATACAACTAAAATGACCAGGTAATGATTTGGTAATTGCTGAGCTATACGTACGTTAATACCTCTCGATTTATTTAACCCCAGCTGTCGCCATATTTGTTCGTAATCTGATTTGAAAGGCGAAAATAAAAACCCACGACGTAAGCAAAGACGTGTTCGGATGGGTATATCAGTTAAAATTGGAGATATATTTCAAGGATACAATCGCAGGTTTATAACCTTTTATCCCCCACGGTTTATCAAATTTATTTCATTCTGTGTGATTGCTATCATACGTGTCAATTCGGACCAGATCTCACTTTATTAAATGCTATTTTATGGGCTTTAAGAGTGAGGAAAGTATAATGGCAGACAGGTAATATATTTGGGAAATTTTCTACTATAGAGCTACTTGGTCAATATAGATCCCAGGTTAACATCTCTTCTACTGGTCACCCAAAGAGCATCTTTACAGATATTATATTTACAATTTGCTGGTATGTATATTGCTAGGGGACAGAAGGATTTGACGTTGTGGGTTAGAATGAAGATCTGTTGGATTCCTTGTCTTCGGGGTTATTTCTGAGACCGATGTGGTTCACAGAAATGAACAATATAATCTGAATAATTGACCAGCTCTCCTTCCGAGGCTCTGAAAGATTAGAAACAAGGGACCCCACCAATAGTGATTTCAACCTTTCGCACAAACAGGGTTTATCTCGAGGAAACTCAAGAATTTCCTGCAGTCTCTGATAATCCTAAATGGAGATTTGTGACCTTTTATTTTTCCCGCTGATAAATGTAAAACAAAACTAGGCCAAATATGTTTATAGCTAATCTAGCAGTAGTTGATTATAGGTGGCTAGCCTTGCTGGCTCCGCTACCTTCAGCAGAACACGTTCTGCAAGTCTGTCTGAAAGGGATTTTAACTTCATTCTTTTGTTTTACGTGTTGTGATGTAAAATTTATTACAATCACTGGGTTGTCTTGTCAGTGTCGAGTTTGAAGTACCACGGGGTCAGACCTTCGAGTTTTGGATAAACAAGTATACACACATTGGCACATGATATTGTATGATAAGAAGAAAAATACAAATTTACACAACGCCAAAAACACACAAACACGCGATTATTCTCCATTGATAATCTGAGACAACTTCAAATCTATTCACACAAATTTGAACATTAAGATATGTTTGATTTGTCCTTAAAATGTCATCTTTACTTATCAACACAAGGTAGATTTTTTGTACTTGGGTGAAATCGGATACCTGTGGAAGGGGACCACCGCCATAGATCCAAAGAGGACCCCCAAAAAGTTCTGGGAGACGTAGTTCGATGTTCAGACCCCTTATCAAGAGAGATTACCACTGTCATCAACTTTTGTTTACCAGAAGTATTTGCATTTATAATGTGTTCACAAGTTTAACACAAAACTTATTGACTCAGAGTATTGGTGGAAGCCAATGTAAGTCAACAATGCTTAGAGGGTGCCCGCCATCGTCCTGTAAATATTAGACTTCAACACTGGGCAAACAGCAATAGTGTTTGTCTCTATTTATAACGAGACACAAGTTTTCAAATGAATCTGTCAGGTACGATGAAGAGATGGTTTAAATATCTTGTTTCGATGATTTTTTAAAACGAAGTTCATTATTTATTCAAACAAAGCAGGAAAACGAACGCGATTGGTGACCAACGTTAGGTGATCACCCACCCTAAAGTCCTTTTCGTCTGGGAACCATAAATGCCTTCGTTTAAATCCTTTTACAGACAAATTCATATTTCGTGGCAACAACCCACTCCAGTTAGATGGATTACACTCAAAAATACTCTGACCGAAACGGTTGAACACCGAAATGTCATCCCCGGAAATCCATGATGAATTGCTATACCCGTGAACTCGCTTAAAAATTCATCCGAACAGAGTACCTGTGCAGATATCTATAGTTGAAAGAATTGTAAAGTATCAATGCCAAAACAAGACCATGTTTCTAAGGATAAAATATTTAAAGTAACTATCCAAATTTTAATGTTTAAACCTGACCAATATTAGTGCTTTTTAAACCCACATCACGCAGTCCAGAATTGGTATAGTCACGGACTAATGTGCACCCTTAGCCCTGTCTCCACTCACTAAGTACCTACCGTGGTGATTCAGGTGGTACGGGCATAAAATAGCCAGGTGAACTGGGCCTCGACTGTTACAGAACAAATCAAAGAAAAATGATGAGGGCAGATGATACAAACAAAATCATTAAATAACAACTAATTCTTTGTTTAATATATAATAATGCATGTTAGCCAAATAGTTTCATTTTTCATTCAAAGTGTCTTAATAATGTCCGATAAAGTGAATAAAAATTGTAGTTTTATATGACAAATATTAAGGAAGAAAGGAGATGGGTGAACAAGGTGTGCAAAATGCGTATATTTAATATTTCAGTTTCATATTTATTGCACAATAGGCATTTTTCTCGCCTTGTTCACCCATCTTCTTTGAACATCATAGAAAGTCTACAATTTCTTAATATATTTGCATCATTTACTACAAAAATAAGTCTAAAAATATATACCAATCCTTGCATCCAATTTTTGTTTGTAGCATTATGTCCTTAATTATGTTTGAAATATTAAAAGTTTATAATAATAACACTACATAAATATATGAATACTTTTAAAGTTTATATATAAAAATGATTTAAATAACTTCAATCTTCGATATTGCACACCTAAATTCTTTGATTTGTTTTGTGAAATCAGTACTAAAACATTGAGCCATAACACAACTATGGACATAAATATCTTTAGTTAAATTGAAATCTCAGATGTTATACAATGTACTTGAAATTGTTTAAAAACGAAATTTCACATCCTAAATCAGAACCATTGTAGCTGACTTGTTACTCTGGACCAGAACAGTGACTAATATTGTACAACCCTGATCCTTGATAACAAGGATACAGGTATATACTAGAATGTAGCGATAAGGGACTATCTCCCCTGATACATTGGACCATTAAGGACTAGGCCCTAACAATGGCTCATACACCAATGACCAGATAAGACTAGAGGACTGAAATGGGGTATTATCATATCAGTCACCCAACTGGGGTACCAAAAGGGGTACTCATTTCAGTCTTCCATCTCGTGCAGAGTTTTCTTACCTTTTTAATCCCGGAAAAATGATGTGAAATACATGGAAATGAGATATAAAGAATTTGTCGATGAGGAGTATAAATAATTTGAGACACCAAGGGGTATTTCACTGATGTAACACATTGCTTTGATCCCAAAATAGCACACACTACAGTATATTAAAACTGCACTCAAACTGACAACTTAGTTCAGGTAGCTTATCAACACACTGGGTTAAAATGTTTTAAAAAATCAAAAAAAAATTGTAACTCAAATTAACCAGAGCCACCAAACAAGGTAGAAACAAGTCATTTATCATGCAATATTTCCTCTGTATGTTACAAATCTCTCTCCAATAAATTGTAAATTTTTCATGAAGAATTGTCAAAACAATCAAACATTAGGAATTATGTAATACAAACCAAATTAAAATCAGAAAAAACAAAGAAACCATGTGTACCTCCAGTTACCTGTAAAAATAATATATTGCATGCACTCATTATTTGCTCATTGAAGGCTCCTATTAAAAATGTTCATTGATTGAAAAGTTTATTTAAAAAACACAGGGAATAGTACACCTTTTTTTTTTAAAACACCTCTATGCCAAATAAAACAATTTTTTAAAAAACCCTGTAAAAGGATACATATAGGTTTTTTTTACTATCCAAAACTCTTAATATTCCATTTGTAGCTTAACCTTTAATAAATTCAGAAGACTCCTTGTCAAAAAAGCCCCGTTTCATGAACAAAAATCTTTGATCCTGTTTGTGGCCTCTTAATGTAATATAAATAAATATCTATTTGTCCTGTGTGATGTATCTCTACCTACAATGATCTGAATCCACTGATAATCCCATGTTAAATGAGGTCGTCAATAAATTGGTGATAATTATGTAAAAGGGGATGGAAAGTATTACTAAAATTAAGCCAGTTCTGACTTGCCTCTATATGACACCTGTCAAAAGTAATTAAATTCCTGCAATTCTACAGAACACAATGGAGAATTCAGTCTTATTGAATCAATTGTCCTCCACCTAACTAATTTTGGCATACTTTAAGACGGCCATTCTTACGTTACTCTTCTTCAGCCTTCAAACTCTGATATATTGGAGTTTATTCACATTTAAATTAAATATTTCATATCCACTACCACAGACCTTTTTTTTTTCTAAGGAAGCACTTCTTAATAGTAGTTATAATGGATGCATTTATTTTCTTTCTACATCAAAAATCAAGCAAAGACGTTACCACAAAGCTTAAGAACAGCTGAATCCTGAGAAAAATATCTAAGTCAACATTTGACTTTTTTAAAACTACCATTTGTATTTGTATTGAATAAAATTATTTTTATCTAGCCTTGCTGCACAGCTGTTAGCAAACTTATTTGTTTGCATATTTCAAAGCCATATGCTTATTTTACATACAAAGTGCAATTTTTTCTTCCTCTTATTTTGTAAAGACAATCTTTACTGTCCTTGAGCCCATCAAAAAAGTTTTAACCTTTGACACCAAACCATAGGACAGCAGGTTCTTGTAGAAAATCTTTCAATAACACTTTTCATCTGACAATATATATACTTGTGTTTTATCTAATCAATACACAATGTCCAAACCGCAGAGGGGTCACGTGATTATGAGAACATAGTGTGCTACCCTACTGTGAGCCACCTAGATCCATTGTGCAACTTCAGTGTTTCTCTTTTGAAATTTTTTTTTTCATAAAAAGGTGGATAAAAGTATATAATTACCCTTAGATGTTGCTCGCTGTTTGAAGATGTGTTTTCTTTTTGATACTTTAACAATTCCTCTTCCAGTTTTCTTGCCTGAAGAAGAATGGGTGCATTTATAAGCAGTTTTTATGTCTAGACAGTATTGAAAATAAAAACCAATGTTATTAACAGATAAAATCAATATTATTGGAGGCAAAACCATCTAAAACATAAAGGATTATATAACAAAGAAAAGTCATTCACCAGGGATATCCCCCAACTACTGAAATTATAGGTTACAAAAACAAAAGAACTTTTCGTTTTTTGGGGGAAACTCATGCTGAGATTCTTTTAAGAATATTATATAACTTGCAGCTAGAAAATGAAAAATTATTGCTATAATATGTTAAAGTACAAAAACGGTAAAAATAGACATTTACTTCCAAGTCATAACTTTTTGTGCCGAATAGCACGTACAAAATGTAATTAGAGCATGCATTTTTTAATGATTCATTGCAGTTTTGAGCAATGAAAGGTCTCAATTTATGTGGATCACTGAAGTTTCACTATACACAGAACATGCTATTCAATGTATTAATCACATAGTGGCATATACTATATGCTTTTATTTATCCTTTACAACAAAATTCACAAGTAAAGCATTTTTAAATAATTCAAACCTTAATATTTTTTTTATAAAACTTCTGAAAAAAACAATGTAGCCTAATATTTCTCTGAATTTTCATTTATTTTTATATGCATTTAATAATTTAATACAAATAAAAATCCTATTTCTATAAAAAAAAAATTGCTGGATTAAATTTCACGGTTTGCATTCTACTGTATTTTCCTGGTTATAACCAGACAATGAACAAAACAAGCTGTGTAGGTTACCCTCATCAAAGCTATGTCTCGCTCCTCTAGTAATGTGTTCATCTCCTCCTCAGTTATCTCCCTTTGTCGTTGTTTGACCAGTTCTAGTCGCCGTAGAAATGAGTTGTATTTTTTATCTATCCCGTAGTTTGAGTCTATCTGGGACAATAAATTGTCAATGCCCTGAAATGAAAGCGAGTACATTTTAATTCACTCTTGTATCAGTGTTAATTTCTTTCCAACTTTCGCATTCTGAACTAGCCTTTCCACTACTGAGGTTGAGGAAGTTATCTTTAGACCAGCAAGATTGAACCACCATTTTCCTTACCCAAAATCAAATAGAGAAGGGAATGGTTCTAAACTGCTGCATAGAATTTCTCTTTATTTTATAGATATGCAACAGTGTTCATTGAAATTAAAAATCAATACTGACAATTATATGTATCTAGATGAACCATTCTTATGTATCAAGTTCTGTCAAATTCAGGGATGACTTATCTTTAGGTGTTCACTCTTAAAATTTTAACCCAGTTGGTTGTCTGCAACTTCAAGGCACATATTTTTGGTCAGTCTTCTAAAAATCTTAGTCAAAATGCATATTTCTTTAGCTAAAGAAATATGCATTTTGACTAAGATTTTTAGCTAAAGAAATATGCATTTTGACTAAGATTTTTAGAAGACTGACCAAAAATATGTGCCTTGAAGTTGCAGACAACCAACTGGGTTAAAATTTTAAGAGTATTTAAAGAGTATTTACTATTTTTTTTTTAAGTACTTATTAGCAATTTGTGAAAGTCAAGATAAATAAAAACATAAGTTTTTATGTACTTTACTAGTGTAGCAAGTTTTAATGAAATTAGGACAAACTATTAAAGTAATTATAGCAATTGACCATTAGAGCTAAAAAAAAAAATTACATTTTAATATGTTACATCAGATCCTTAGAAATGTTATTATAAACATTTTACCCAAAGCACTAAAGACCTTTGAGGATCATGACAAATAGACACATATTTAGACACAGTGTATATGTATATACATATATATGGTACATTTATTCCCAGATTAAATTTGTCAGGTGCTAGGACCCCTGTCATTACATCATGCTGTGAGAGACATTGATGTCGAATCTTTCCATTGTGAGAATCTCATCAATTCCCAGGACCCAATCCCCTACAGCCCCCCAAACTAGCGCCAAATCTAAGACAGATCTAAGACTGTCCAGCTCTCTTTATATCGATTATATATATGTACCATATTTAAAAGTTTATGAGGAGCCTTATCCAAGATAGTGGAAGACAAGAAAAAAAAAGCTGTGCTTTTTTCCCTAACAAATTGCCAAGTATGATGTTCCTGTAATCCCCTTTAACCACCAAGACTATATTGAGTTGTTTGCAAATACTGAATTTCATGTTCTACAGGATTAAACTTCTGGTAGATCAATAATCAACATAAATCTCTCCCCCCATCTGACCAAAGTTTTAAAAATTTAATCATAGTTCAGGGTATATACCATAAATCTTCGTATTAACTCTGATGTTTATTAGGATTTTGCCAGAATAAAGAAATTCCAGCGATGAGTAATAACTGTTACATGGGCACTCTTCAGGGAGTGAAATTTTAATAACCCCCAAACATAGAAATTTATTCTCATTGGCTAGGCTTGTGACATTTACGAGGACTTATATGTTATCAGTATTATTGAGGGAACTAAATGAAAATCAATTTTACTAATATAACACGATACTAAATTAACCCTTGGTTGGTTAAAGCATTCAGTGTCTACCAAATTTGTATCTCACACTTAGTATTTTGGTTACCTTAAAACATAACTTGTATTGGGTTTTTTTTTAAAAAATTCTCAGAATTTAGATCTTTTCCATTTTTTTTCTGAGGCAGATTACTACACATATGCACAAAAAAATGAAATAATACAGATATAATTTTTATGTTTGTACGAATGAATATCAGTAATTAAATATAAGCAGCAATAAAACTGTTACTTTTCCAACCACTTACTAAGTATCCTGTTAGCAATCATATCTTTTGATGTTATCTTTACCGTTAACCATAAAGACTCTGAGTGACAGAGATAATCCCGTATCCTACCCTGACAAAGGGTGGGATGGAGGATACGTGTTTGTAGTCTACCTGGTTACCATGGCAGACTGTAATGTGTGACAGATGGACAGACAGACAGCGGGGCGGAATAGCTCCCTTAACCAGATACAGAAATATTATTTCTCAGTCAACAGCCGTGCTGTAACATTGCTTCAGTGCCACATTGATAACCTTCTGACTTTATAATTGTAATAAATTAATAAAAGGAAGGGACTGTGCTTAAGAATCAATTAAAAGCTGGGCATGACTCAAAACATCAAAAGATGGCAACAAGATATGAATAATAGATGTGTTCTCTCATATGCCATATTTTACATACAATGTCACCTAACAGCTCCATAATGTTCAATTTTGTTGATGCTATATTCAGCATGAATTATCTGGGATCTCTTTTCTATAATTCTGTGACATGAACAACATTTTATCAAACTCTAGTTGGAAAAAGTTCAGGTAAAGGGTCCATGTAAAAAAAAAAAGATTTGAAAATGAATTTAAAAAAAATAGAATGTCCTTCACCTCTGTAACCTCATCTTCATCAGGGTCATCAAAATCTGATAAGTCAGTGTTGTCTGAGTAACCCCTGGAAAAAAGGAAAACATGGATTCCTGTAAATTAAGGTCTTCACAATATAACATCAAACATCAATCCAGTATATCAAGTTATTGAAAACTATGGAATTAAAAAAAGGTAGAGCTATTATTACGCAGATAGCAAAAATTGTCAGATTCCATTCAGAAATGACTCCCTGAGAGAATGGAACCATCTAATCACAAAGTACTACATACTGGAAATTTCTCGTACTTGATAACAGTTTAACAGAATACTTACTCATCTAGCCTTCTTTCTAGTTCTCTCAGCCTCCGCAGGGCTTCCTCCTTCTCCTGGCTATTCAGCTTCATCCTTCCCATCATGCTCTCTTCCCGCTTCCTTTGGGCTGTATGGACTTCCTGTACCATACCTTACAATAAAAACAGACTTCCTGTACCATACCTTACAATGTAAACAGGACTATTGTACCATACCTTACATAATAACACAACTCCTGTACCATACCTTACAATAAAAAAAGACTTCCTGTACCATACCTAACAATACAAATAGAACTCCTGTACCATACCTTACAATGTGAACAGACTTCCTGTACCATACCTTTCAATAAAAATAGACTTCCTGTACCATACTTTACAATGTAAACAGACTTCTTGTACCATATACCTTACAGTAAAAACAGACTTCCTGTACCATATACCTTACAGTAAAAACAGACTTGCTGTACCATACCTTACAATAAAAATAGAACTCCTGTACCATACCTTATAATAAAAACAAAACTCCTGTACCTGACCCTTACAATGTAAACGAAACTCTTATTATACCATACTTACAATAAAAACAGAACTCTTGTTCCATATACCTTACAATAAAAACAGACTTCCTGTACCATACCTTACATTATAAAAACACAACTCCTGTACCATACCTTACAATAAAAACACAACTCCTCTACCTTACCTTACAATATTAACACAACTCTTGTACCATACCTTATAATAAAAACAAAACTCCTGTACCATACCTTACAATAAAAATAGAACTCTTGTACCATACCTTACAATAAAAACAAAACTCCTGTACCTTACCTTACAATAAAAATAGAACTCCTGTACCATACCTTATAATAAAAACAAAACTCCTGTACCAAACCTTACAATGTAAACAGACTTGCTGTACCATACCTTACAATAAAAACAGACTTCATGTACCATACCTTACAATAAAAATAGAACTCCTGTACCATACCTTACAATATAAACACAACTCCTGTACCATACCTTACAATAAAAATAGAACTCCTGTACCATACCTTATAATAAAAACAAAACTCCTGTACCATACCTTACAATAAAAACAGACTTGCTGTACCATACCTTACAATAAAAATAGAACTCCTGTACCATACCTTACAATAAAAATAGAACTCCTGTACCATACCTTACAATAAAAACAGACTTCCTGTACCATACCTTACAATAAAAACAGACTTTCTGTACCATACCTTACAATAAAAATAGAACTCCTGTACCATACCTTACAATAAAATAGAACTCCTGTACCATACCTTACAATAAAAATAGAACTCCTGTACCATACCTTACAATAAAAACACAACTCCTCTACCTTACCTTACAATAAAAATAGAACTCCTGTACCATACCTTACAATAAAAACACAACTCCTGTACCATACCTTACATAATAACACAACTCCTGTACCATACCTTACAATATAAACACCATACCTTATAATCAAATCATATCAAGGGATAAGGGTGCAATTAGGAATTCAACTATTAGAAAACATACTTGTATATATAACTGGATTAATGTACATGTAGATGCTTGTAGAACTATAGGATTTCCTTAAATATATATGTATGTATTATACAGTATATGCATATCTCACTGTACCCTCAAAAATGTACTTCCTACAGAAAAAGCCACTTACTGAGTAAGTCAACAGCTATGTTTGTTCATCAAATTTAATTGTAAAAATACGCTTTTATTTTTCTGTAAAGGATGTATTCTGCTGAGATAACCCACATTAAACTTTTTATTTTTGGTACTTAATTTGATGTATTCATTATTTGAAACAAAATAAAAAGTAAGAAAAATATGAGTTGGTAAACATATTTTTGAGATACAAGGCATTGAAAATATGGTGGGAAACCAGACTTTTTTGGATAAATGGAAAACTTCTTTCTCTAAAAACTTATGATCTGGAATTAAATTTTTCTTAATAATATTTTAGAAGACTATCAAAACTACAAAGAATTCAAATGTGAATAGATAATAGGGGGTTAGTGGGCCTAAAAATTATGCATATTTTGATGGATAAAACCAGAGGAGTTCTGTAAAAATGAATGACACCTCAGCATAATCAGCAGAATACATCCTTAAATAATTCATTTTTTTTTACACATAAAAAAAAGTAGTGTGCAAAAACAAAAAAAAAATAATATGCACATTCAAAACATGCTAATAGGTATACTTTGGTGACATTTGCAAACCTAAGCATTATTGAGACTATAAATCATTATCCTGCATATCCCTATTATAGAGATTTAGTGCTAAAATTGCATGCATTATTCAATTGAGTAAATCAGTTATTGAAATAGAAAATGCCATGCATGAGAATTAATAAAGCATTAGAGAATTTACTCTCTATCACCGACATATTACATTCATGAAGCAACAATTTATATTCTGATAGGAGACCATGGGGGAAAATATAAGTCTGTCAAAAAAAATCACCAATAGTGACTAGATAATTTATTAAGCAATCTATTGCTTAATTATCCAAAAGAGTGAAATAAGTCAATTCTCCAAAAGCAAACTTAAAGATGGTTAATCCCCAAGAGCTACGCTGCCGAAGCAGGTCTAGGTGAAGCGTAATGGCAGCATAGACTGATGCTTGACAGTTTGATTTACGCTGATAGACCTCACGAATGAGACTTCAAAGTCCGACATTGTCATCCGTAATGAGAAATGCTGCAACACGATTAATCGCAGATGATCAATACATGTTCTGATAGGAAAATGAAATAGGCTGGCAAGCGATTCATCACCAAGGAAAAACTTCTCCCATTTTTTGATTCCTTGTGAATCAATATACCTGGGCAGCATGGGGAGAAAATATGACACTTCAGTCCTCAATTAATGCCGGGCTCCCACAGCAGTCGTGATTAAGGTATCGCACGAAAATTAATAAGAATGGTAAAGTGATTTGATTGTCAACTCATTTTAAACGGCTATATGAATGCTTATAATTGGTATCGATTTTTTTGGAGTGAGAGAAGGAGGAATGAAGAGGGGGGCTGAAGGATGGGATGACTATCACCTTTAAATCAATGTCTGTAAAACACACTCTAATGAGAAATTCCTATTGTAAGCTTCAAACATGGCTACTTAAGCACTATCACTTTACAAATATCTCCTAATGCAACTTATCACTCACTTTTGTGTGCCTCCGGAAAAATTGACCAGGGCTGACAAAGTATTGTTCAAAAATTGATTTCCAAATATCTACTCATTAAAATCTACCTCAAATGCAATTAAGATTTTATCAAAAAGCAGTTAACATCAAACAGTTCAAATCAAGTCAAATTGTGCTCATCTAATTTTTCAGTCTGTCTGAATGAAAGAGAATGAAGATTTGTTCCCAAACACAGTGTTATTATAAACAACTAATTGAAGGACTCTTTACAACTGACAGTAAATTCAACTATTCAGATAATATGTTCAAACTATTGAAAATTATATATTTTTAGATTCAAAATATTCATATCTCAAATTCACCTTCCACATGATCTAATTTACTTTGTATGCCCAATCCCTAGGGCCTGATTTACTTTGTATACCCAGACCCTCAGGCCTGATTTACTTTGTTTACCCAGCCCCTAAGGCCTGATTTACTTTGTATACCAGTCCCCAGGTCTGATTTACTTTGTATACCTGGCCCCTTGGTCCTGATTTACTTTGTATACCCAGCCCCTTGGTCCTGATTTACTTTGTATACCCAGACCTTTGGTCCTGATTTATTTTGTATACCCAGACCCTCAGGTCTGATTTAATTGTATACCCAGCCTCTAATTTCTGATTTATTTATATACCCAGCCCCACTGGCCTGATTTACTTTGTTTACCCAGCCCCTCTGGCCTGATTTACTTTGTATACCCAACCCCTCTGGTCCTGATTTACTTTGTTTACCCAGCCTCTCTGGTCCTGATTTACTTTGTTTACCCAGCCCCTCTGGTCCTGTTTCACTTTGTTTACCCAGCCCCTCAGGTCTGATTTACTTTGTATACTCAGGCCCTCAGATCTGATTTACTTTGTATACCCAGCCCCTCTGGCCTGATTTACTTTGTATACCCAGCCCCTCAGGTCTGATTTACTTTGTATACCCAGCCCCTCTGGTCCTGATTTACTTTGTTTACCCAGCCTCTCTGGTCCTGATTTACTTTGTTTACCCAGCCCCTCTGGTCCTGTTTTACTTTGTTTACCCAGCCCCTCAGGTCTGATTTACTTTGTATACTCAGGCCCTCAGATCTGATTTACTTTGTATACCCAGCCTCTCTGGCCTGATTTACTTTGTATACCCAGCCCCTCAGGTCTGATTTACTTTGTTTACCCAGCCCCTCTGGTCCTGATTTACTTTGTTTACCCAGCCCTTCTGGTCCTGATTTACTTTGTTTACCCAGCCCCTCTGGTCCTGATTTACTTTGTTTACCCAGCCCCTCAGGTCTGATTTACTTTGTATACTTAGCCCCTCAGGTCTGATTTACTTTGTATACCCAGCCCCTCAGGTCTGATTTACTTTGTATACTTAGCCCCTCAGATCTGATTTACTTTGTATACCCAGACCCTCTGGCCTGATTTACTTTGTATACTCAGCCCCTCAGGTCTGATTTACTTTGTTTACCCAGCCCCTCTGGTCCTGATTTACTTTGTTTATTCAGCCCCTCTGGTCCTGATTTACTTTGTATAACCAGCCCCTCAGGTCTGATTTACTTTGTTTACCCAGCCCCTCTGGTCCTGATTTACTTTGTTTACCCCCTCTGGTCTTGATTTACTTTGTTTACCCAGCCCCTCTGGCCTGATTTACTTTGTATACCCAACCCCTCTGGTCCTGATTTACTTTGTATACCCAGCCCCTTGGTCCTGATTTACTTTGTTTATTCAGCCCCTCTGGTCCTGATTTACTTTGTATAACCAGCCCCTCAGGTCTGATTTACTTTGTTTACCCAGCCCCTCTGGTCCTGATTTACTTTGTTTACCCCCTCTGGTCTTGATTTACTTTGTTTACCCAGCCCCTCTGGCCTGATTTACTTTGTATACCCAGCCCCTCTGGTCCTGATTTACTTTGTTTACCCAGCCTCTCTGGTCCTGATTTACTTTGTTTACCCAGCCCCTCTGGTCCTGATTTACTTTGTTTACCCAGCCCCTCAGGTCTGATTTACTTTGTATACCCAGCCCCTCTGGTCTGAATTACTTTGTTTACCCAGCCCCCTGGTCCTGATTTACTTTGTTTACCCAGCCCCTCTGGTCCTGATTTACTTTGTTTACCCAGCCCCTCTGGTCCTGATTTACTTTGTTTACCCAGCCCCTCAGGTCTGATTTACTTTGTATACTTAGCCCCTCAGGTCTGATTTACTTTGTTTACCCAGCCCCTCTGGTCCTGATTTACTTTGTTTACCCAGCCTCTCTGGTCCTGATTTACTTTGTTTACCCAGCCCCTCTGGTCCTGTTTTACTTTGTTTACCCAGCCCCTCAGGTCTGATTTACTTTGTATACTCAGCTCCTCAGATCTGATTTACTTTGTATACCCAGCCCCTCTGGCCTGATTTACTTTGTATACCCAGGCCATCAGGTCTGATTTACTTTGTTTATCCAGCCCCTCTGGTCCTGATTTACTTTGTATACCCAGCCCCTCTGGTCCTGATTTACTTTGTTTACCCAGCCTCTCTGGTCCTGATTTACTTTGTTTACCCAGCCCCTCTGGTCCTGATTTACTTTGTTTACCCAGCCCCTCAGGTCTGATTTACTTTGTATACTCAGCCCCTCAAATCTGATTTACTTTGTATACCCAGCCTCTCTGGCCTGATTTACTTTGTATACCCAGACCATCAGGTCTGATTTACTTTGTTTATACAGCCCCTCTGGTCCTGATTTACTCTGTTTACCCAGCCCCCTGGTCCTGATTTACTTTGTTTACCCAGCCCCTCTGGTCCTGATTTACTTCGTTTACCCAGCCCCTCAGGTCTGATTTAATTTAGTATACCCTGCCCCTCAGGTCTGATTTACTTTGTATACCCAGCCCTGTGGTCCTGATAACTTTGAACACCCAGTCCCTCAGGTCTGCTTCATTTGTATACCCATTCCATAAGGCTTCTTTTCTGGTGGTGAAATCATTGTAACTGGTTGTCCAATCTTGTAACAGGAGAAAATGTGAGGGACCACATGGCGGACCCAGGCTCTAGTACTCTAATCCTGTATAACAGTCTATAGACTGGTACTATATTCTTGTGTAACAGGAAAGGAGAAAATGTGAGAAACAAGACAGGGATATGAACCCAGGCCCCCTGATCTATAGACTGGTATGTACTATAATCTTGTGTAACAGGAAAGGAGAAAATGTGAGGAACATGATGGGGATATGAACCTGACCCCCTGAACTTTAGACTGGTACTTTACCAACTACAGTAAAATTCAGTTACAGCAAAGTTCTGAGTACCTGTACATTTTATTCACTCTATTCATAATTTGGTTTATAAATCTGTATAACAAATTTGTTTATGTATATATAGTGAATTCACAATATATATGTTTTTCTTTAAGTATGACTACCGAATATGTTCAGGGAAATATTTGATACAAAACTTATTATGAAGAACTTAAGTTTTCTGATGAGTAAAATTTTAAATATAAATTTTTACGAAAAACAAAGCCAGTTCAATATTTGAAGTGTGAGATCTTCAAAAAATTGTTATAAAAGATGTAAACTTTGCTTTAATAACATCTAACCGCCACACTTGTAGCATTATAATTACCTGCTGCAGCAGAGGAATCTGTGTTTCCTTTAGAGTCCACGTCTTTCGTTTTTAATTTCAGCCGAGAAGTTTCCAAGTCGTGTTCAGTTTGAGCCAGCTTCTCTGCCAACTGTATAATGATATTTGTATTTGCATGAACATCCTAAGAAATTTATATCTATATCAAAATATTCAAAACATTTACCGTACCTAAATCTTTGTATTTGATATACTGTTTTGAGAAAATTTTGCATAAGTTCAACTTCATTTTTATTACCACCTTTTAGCTTTTGTTTGAAAAATACTGTAAACCAACTTTTATTCACGTGTGAGAAATATCCCCGAGTTTCTTGACCTCATTTAACTCGCGAATATTAACCACTTATTTTGCTTTGTATTTGTAGAAAATGTTTCTTCAGTCGTGAAAATTAATCATTGCATACTTATTTCAAACTGACGAATCTCTAATAAAAGATGATGCCAATAATAGTTGGTTTACAGTATCTAGAAATACACTGTAAAAAAACTTACTCTTTTGTTCTGTGCTTTCGCTGCATCGAGTTCTGACAGAAGAAGAGAGATTTGCTTGGCTTGGTCTGTAGAACTACTGTATGCAGCAAGTCCATATCCATGTGAATATGCAGAAAAAAGGCCTGGAGAGGAAGACTGCACTTGATGGGAACTAGGAGGTAGAAATGGGGCACTTCTGAAGGGGGATGCTGCAGCATAAGGACTATATCCAGTGGAGGGCTGCTGGTCACCTGACTTGGCCTCTTTTTGAGGACTTGAATTGAGGTCAGTCATTTCTAATGGAGCATCAATATTTTCTGAAGAGGCAGTGGTTGAATCATGGGAAACAATAGTTTCTTCAGAGCTCTGAGCACTTGGGATCTGTTGAAGACTGGAGGTAAAAGACGGTCTTATTGGCTGTCCCCTGGGGGACCCCATGTTGTAGGAAAACAAGGAGGGGCTTAGGTAGCCTGCAGGGTATGGTTGGTTGAGGTACACAGGAGAGTGCATAAAGGAGGGTGTGTAGTTTCCAAAGGGGTTAAACGAGAACTGTGGGGTGTTAGTCATGGAAGATGACAATGGTCTTCTGAGGGGACTGGGTGGTGTTGTTCCCACAGGTGCTATGAAAAAATAAACACACTTGAGAGAGAAGACTTAAATATAGGATTGCCCTTTCAATCTGCATTATCTTTTCTCCTTATGTCTCACTTTCTTCTTTTTATTTATTTATTCTTTTTTTTTTTTTGGAAGTTTCAGACATTTACCTGAGGGTAAATCCTCTTTCTTGTTATGTGACTGGTTCTCCTTGTCAGGGATAATCTGGTTCTCAATTTCTGAGATATCATGCAAATTAGTGACAGCTGCAGTAGAGCTAGAAGATCTAAATGTCAATAAGTGATTAGTCTGTTTTCTTGCATAATTTTTTTTCTTTCTCAATATATTTGTTACAATTAGTAAATAAGCTTTTAACATTACACTTTAAAATAGTTCAATAGAAGTTCAAAAAAGGTCACCATATGTTACAAAATTCAATAAGGCATGAGTGTACTGAGTTCAACATGTATGTATGAATAATTAAAATCATGTTTAATATCAGGCTTTGTCTGCTACACTAACTCTATCAGATTATATATTGTTGAGATGATGTCAGTACACATTTGGAATAGAACAAGAGAAAAGAATCCAGTAATTTGGAATCCACACACAATATTGGATTGAGCTTTATCTACATGTATATGTTTTAAAATCTTCAGTCAAGATCACCGCATACCTTAATTTTGCGCAAGAATATTGAATTAATTGAGTGCAATTTGTAAGAAATTACACAAGAAAACAGACAGACGGATGGATAAACCAACAGTAAAGCTTGTATTGCTGGATATTTGAGAGGTTGAGGAGGGGTGGGGGGGGGGGGTACTGTAAAACATGGATATTCTATACAGGGTAAAATTTTGTGATTTCAATGTAAAAAAGAGTTCGTTAGTACTGGGTCAGTTTTATGAAAATAAAAAATTCACAAAACATCTTATTTGTAGTTCATTATCAACATCTTTTGGAATTCTTTGCAAGGTAATAAATTTTGCAAAACTAAAATCATCACAAAATTCACAAAAATTTTCCCTGTCCAAATACTGTATAATTTCCACTTTACAGTAATGTTTTATTTATTTGTTTGTTTGTTGCTTTTTGTTTTTACAACTCTATTAAAATATTATTTTAAATGTCTTCTATATTGTTTTTGGTGTCCATTTGTTTTTCATTGGTTGACTAAGCTGTCATAATCATTACAAACAAAACAAATTTACCTGTAGTCAAATATCACCTTTTTATTACCATTTAATACAAGACAAAACATTAAAATTATATCACAGATATGTTGTATCAAAGTAAACATTGGGGTTACACTCACTGAACACTGAGGTTTCAGGGCTTCATTCATACCCTCTCCCCGTTTGTTTGAATTTGACAATAAAATTACCATGATATAATCTTATGTATACAACAGTTCAAACTAATTAAGACAGTTCCAAACAAGATTATATCTGATAATCTCTATCTATGTTTGGATCTCCCAATGTAAATACACACAAGAATCCCAAGTCAAATAAGAGATGATTTTGCCAGTGTTCAGCATTGTTGGGATCATGTTCTATATGTGTGGTGGATAAAAAATTATATGATATATTGAACAGAATATTTTAAAAGGCCACAGTGTCTGCTTGATTAAATATCAAACCCATCAGTGTTTGTTGATAGACTTGTCACATTTTCGCAGTGAAATATGGCACAAATACACTACCACAATGAATACACATAGCATGGGGTTCTAAACAGTTAGAACCAAATGAATTCACAACATCAGAAGTTTTTGTGTAAGATAATATTTGCCATCAGTAATCAAATAGTAGGCCTCTATGATGAGTTGCTCTATGAGTTGATTCTAATAGTTAGAATATAAAGTTTGTTTGACAAACTTGCACAACAATCTCTCCAACCCTGATTTGTTGGGCCCTTACTGTGTAGCTCTTGCTTGTCTATGTTGAATGGGAAAATATTTGTACAAGATAAAATAAGCAAATTCCCCCTAAAACTCAAATATGATCAGTGCTGATCAGATGCTTGTTGACACTACACTGTATCAATGTTAATTCAAGCATTCTCCTGACTTTGTGTAAACTCAAATCGGAGATAAATTGAACTAAATATGTTTGAAAATCTCAGTGATGCTGTCAACAACATGTTTGCAGTTCCTAAGTTTATCAAGATTACATTTGTTTAAGATATTTTTTTAATGTCTGTTGATTGTTGGTCAAACATCAGATACAAATGTTGACTAGTTGTTCAAACACCAACAATGGGGATCTGCTGTTGTCACTTATCTAGAAGCAAATTAAACTTACAGAAGAAGCCCAAGACACAAACTTTACACTTCTTTACTCAGATACAAAGCACTGAAGTAAGATCAATGTATTTTACTTTAAAATGTAAAAGATGTTAGAGGATTAAATAAAACATTTCAGAGGACCTGAAGCCTTAATTTTCTGTTGGAAGCTGGAGGGGCCATCATCAATATAACAATTATGTATGAAATGTAAGAGTTCAAAATAATTATACAGTGGAGGAGTTCCTAACCATGCTTTGGTGACTATGTATAAGTAATTATAGATCTGCAATGAGCATTATTGTATTACTTATTACTTCAGTATTACTTCCATAACAAGCATGCTGCTGATGTATTGAAGCATGTAACCATCAAGATTTTGTTAAAATCCATCCTCTTCACTTCATTTTGTGAAAAAATGTGTCATGACTTTTTAGTCTGCATTAAATATAGATTCAAAACTGGATGATACCCAGAGTTAGAAAAATTAGAGAAACACTTCATCAGAAAATAAACTGCATGGTCAATGTACACCTTAGTGTACACCTGATAAATGTAATAAATCCTTCAGCTCCAATCAACACAAACCATTAGATTAAATTACAAATTTCACATAACAATTCTAATGTAATTTTCCTGAACAGGCAAAATGATGCTTGATTAATTTTGATTAAAGACCCTGATAAAATTTATGACTTTGCAGGTTCAGGGAAGATCAAATCTTGATGCTCATCATCTACTATTCAGACGGGAGGGTCATCAATCACAAATAAAGTCCCTGTGATTGGACCAGTCTTATCATTTGTTTTGCTTCTGTTTGCAATTTTTACAGCAGCTGGAATAGAAAAACAGTCCTAATAGGAAAATTCTATTTAACCCTTTGTTGGACGGGATAAAGCGATTTTGTGCGGGAGATCCCCTCATTTTTCTCCCGTCTTTTCCTTTAGTTAATTAAGGTATGGGTACAAATTCACCTCAGTAAACAGGGGAGAATTACTTGCTATTGACTTAAGCAGAATTGCACAAATTTCATCCAATATAATAGAAAGAGCCCATGTTTGCTTTTAAGCAAGTCCCTGACAGGACAAGCACTTGCCTTCACATCATTTGCAAAATTTTGCTCAGTTTCTCCTAAACGCTTAACCTAGAGGGGATTATTCAGAGGCTTAACTATCAATTTATCCGACTCCTAGTTGCCAATCAGTCTTGTCTCTGCTTACATCCGCAGAACTGACTGCTTCCTGCGAGGACATTGCATACAGTTAGGAATGAACTACGAGTGAACAAATAGCACACTTTAATGAACTATATGTATTTGTATACAATATATTCTTTACGTAGATCATATCTCAAAAATTATGTTAGGTTGATTATAATTAGCCATTAAACATTTACAAATGTAATTAGCAATAGTTTTCAGTGTTTAATTCTCCTAGAACTGGCCTTCAGCCAAATTAATTGATCACTTCAATTGATAAAAATTTTGTCACTTGTGATATGAGTATAATATCAAAAATTTTTTGAGAAGTATATTTTAGATAACAACTCATATAGCATGGCTAAAAATCGCAAAGAAAATTGGGGGTCAGTGTGCATCTTACTGAGCAACAGTACAATTAACTTGACCCTTTTGCACTTAAATTGTAACTTTCAGGTCAATCACTTTAACCTTTATCATCTTTTACCAAATGTAATCAAGGCAATAAGTATAATCTCATTTTATGTAAAATAACTTGAATAATATTCATTATTGAAAAATCCTGCAAATTAATGCACTTAAAGTATTATGTGACCTTTTTAAACTGAAAAAAAAAAATCAAATTTGGGGTATTCAAAAGCTAGATAGGCAATAAAATATTTTCTTGTATCAAGCATTTTATGACCGTAGTGCTGATCAGTTGAATGTATCGTATAATTTAAAATAATGAAAGAAAAAGTTGGGGTCAGTGATATAAATTTTGAGATATTGGTCAAAATATGTGATTTTCGGTAAAAAAAAAAAAAAAACAATGTAAATTTTATCTCAACTTCTTAAATATATCTTAATTTTTTGGCAAAGTCTGTTGAGTGAATGTGTAAAATTTCATTTAAAAGTAGTAATTGAATCCTATATTTAATGTTCCTAGCATAAAATGACGAAAAAAGTTCTCCAAGTAAAAATATATAGGGCTAAAGTTCCAAGATATTAAATCAATGTGTAGATTTGAAGAATTTTCTTCTGTATATCCTTCCACCACAAGAAATAGTCCCCCATAAATCTTATTTCTTTACAATTTTGTGAGCAGTTTTTTAAATTAAATAATGTACCAGTATATTTTGCATTGTTGAATTCAAATATGTCTTAAAAAATTAATTGAATCAAATAATTTTGAAATGAGAGATTCTGACAAAACTTTTCTCAAAAGCTGAAGAGTGATATACATATACCTTTACACCTGTTACAACTGAACTGTAGCCCTTTAATTTTTATTTTGAAATAACAGGAAAAACAAATAACTGGAAAACACTGAGTTTTAGTATATATATATATATAAATATAAATATATATATATATATATATATATATATATATATATATATATATATATAGAAAGCACAAAGAAATTCACTTTAATAAGGATACCCACTTCCGCCCCAGCCCGGGGTTGAACTCTCGACCTACGGAATCTGTCTCCTAGCAGTACAGGAACAGCGCGCTAGACCACTCGGCTATCTAGGCAAGTCAAAAAAACTTGCTTTCGATGCCGATGGCAGTTATGTTTGTTTAAGAGTTGTTGTAAAATGTGCTTTATAAATAAAAATTAATTTCATTACAACGTGTATTGGTAACGATTCTCTAATAAAACTAATGTCCAAATAACTGTATCTCACTTCCATTCTCAATGACCGTGTAGTGTAGGGCAGCGCCGCGAGAATTCCATCGGCATCGAAAGCAAGTTTTTTTGACTTGCCTAGATAGCCGAGCGGTCTAGCGCGCTGTTCCTGTACTG